ACAGTGACTCGGTGGGGCCCCAAAGTGACAGACAGTGTGACTCGGGACCCCCAGAGCGACAGATAGTGTGACTCGGGCCCCCAGAGTGACAAGCAGTGTGACTCTGCAGGGTCCCCAGAGCGACAGACAGTGACTCGGTGGGGCCCCAAAGTGACAGACAGTGTGACTCGGGACCCCCAGAGCGACAGATAGTGTGACTCGGGCCCCCAGAGTGAGAAGCAGTGTGACTTAGCGGGGTCCCAGAGCGACAGACAGTGTGACTCGATGGGGTCCCCAGAGCAACAGGCAGTGAGACTCAGGGCCCCAGAGCAACAGATAGTGTGACTCGGGGCCCCCAGAGCGACAGGCAGTGAGACTCGGTGGGGCTTCCAGAGCAACAGGCAGTGAGACTCTGTGGGGGCCCCAGAGCAACAGGCAGTGTGACTCACCTGCATGTGCATCACAGCGGGGCGAAATCACCCAGAGTAAGACTCACTGGCATCTCTGAGTACTTACAGTTTACAGTTTTTCTGAATTGCTAAAGCACTATACCTCATTCTTGGAACAAAACCACCAATTGACAAAATCCACTTATTGAATCAATCACTCAATTTTACGAAACTTTAAACTGTGCACACTTAATTAGACACAATTAACAGATCTGAGTCACCCTTTTTTCAAAACTCTAAACACATTTTCATTCATCAAAACATATTTTGTACTGTGGTGAAATTTCATGCAAAATAGAAAACAGAAGTTCAGCACAGCCAGCAGACAGTAGTCATCATTTAAACACAATGACTCAGAACTGTTCACACATGTTTCTAAATATGAGAAGAAGCCAAAGAGTGACTGGAACATAGAATACGTGCCGGATGAGAGTGCAAGCGCCATAGGTTAGCTGAATATCAGCATCAAGGAACAAATGGGTCACACAGAGGATTCTTCCTGCATTGCTAAGCAAGGTAGAGCAAATCCTGTGATGCAGACAAAGTTTCCTATCCTGACCCAGCCCTGGGACATGGGGATGTGTAATGACTGCTCAGTAGTGTTTATGTACCGACGGGCTTGATGCGTGATCTGAATGCAGTGTTTACTTTTGAGCAAAGATAATAGAGTTTTGAGAAAATTGCTTGATTTTACCAGACGAGTCAAAGGTTCTGTGTGTGTAGCTTGAATGTTAGGGTTTGTACTTAGTGGTTTGAGAAAAGGAGAGGAGATTTTAGGAAGCAATTCAGAAAAACTGTAACAGTCCACTAGCTCAATACTTGGCATTCCCACACGAAGGAATAACAGTGATTATCACTGCATGGTGGTTTGTTGTTGATTATCATTCTACATATTGGGAGCAGTAGTGATATGAATAGCAGCTACAAGCAAAGCTGAAGTTTTTCTGGACGAGGACACAAGGGGGAGCACTTGAGCTGCAGTTGCTGCATTCCGCTAATGAACATCCCGTAAATCACTACAGGCCTCAGCTTCCCTGCTTATATAAATCGGCTTTAAATTGCGGCCGTAGATCAGAGAGGCACCAACTCAGCACTTGACTGTTTTATGGGGGCAGGTGCTGCAATAATAGGTCAGCTGATGCTCTGTATATAAATCAGAAGCTACCTTAAATGTGCCGTGATGTACATCACATCAGCATGGCAGTGCGACCCAGTACCCACCGCAGTGACGACCAAAGAAGTCCCACCCCTCCAGTGACGCCTATCCTGATTGGTAGGTTTGCTTCATGGGATTTTAAGGTGGAATACAATGACGCCGGAAGAGTCTCACACTCACCTTCTGCCGCCGCTTCTCCTTCCGTTTGTTTTCCGTCGCCTGCAGCATCTTCTCCTTCCACAGGTTGAAGAAGTAGGAGGGGTCTGTGTAGAACTTCAGCCCGTCCTTCTTGTCGTCCCTACGGGACAGCAGAGGGCTCTCAGACGGACGTGAGCAAGCAGGACACACACCCGAAATGTCCCTCAGAGTACCTGCACACATCATGTCCCAAGCTGCAGCACTTCTGTCATCATTACATGTGACTTACATACATGTGTCAGGAGTTCAGCGCAAAAATACATTCATGTGTCACTATTTTATGTGTAGTTTCGGGGAAGCTCATTATTATTATTCTTTACTGTCAAGCATGCTCAATTGATCATGATGATAATAGAGATGGTGAAGAGTGGACCTGTAGGGGCTGAGGATGTTGAGGGGAGGGGGCTTGTCACAGTGGTGGTAAATCTCCATCACGGGGTTGGGGGTGGAGTTCCGGGAGACGACCTGCTGGCTCTGAAGGGTGGAGCTCTTGAAAGCCTTCCTCATGTTGATATCCTGGAGGGACACTGCGACACGCACACAGAGATCACATGCGGCCATATTTGTGGGCGTGGCCAATTGGCTGCCATATTTAAAGCAGCCAAGCAAAAAATATTACCGCAAAGGATAGTTCCCTTTTTACTGCCTGTTTGAATTTATCGTCGACGGGAAAAATACAGCAAAGAAGGAAGCTGTTTTAGGAGTTTGTTAAAAACAGGAACTTATACAGCAAGTGACTGCCAAGTCTCCTCTGGATAAGTGTGTTGTAGCGTTAATGGCACTTAGCGGAACACAATGTATTAGCATTCAGGCCGTAGAGCAGCTTCCTGTGACCGTCACGGCACAGACTCTCTAAGTAGCTGGTATTCTTATTCTTATCCCGCTTATTCTGCTTCCATGGTCTCTGATCTGCTCAGTTCAGATTTTAACGTTACATAGCTGTTTGCCCGAAAGGTTTTGCCGTGGGCGTTTTAAAGCTTAGGCGTACTTGTCGATGCTAAACCAAAAAATGACTTCAGTGGCCTATAGTAGGACTAGCTGGAAGAGGTGGAATTGTCATAATGGGTCTACAGGGGGCGCTGCTGAGCAACCTGAGTGATCAATTGTCGGGGGGAGGGGGGGAGTCAACATAATAGTAGCCCCCTTTCCTGCATTAAAGGAAAGCCACCTGGACCTCTTAACACCTTCCCTGAGTTTTACCACGAGAGTTCATATGTAAAAGAAAATGTTAACTAATGATATTTCTTACCCATGAAAATAGATATTACTAAATCACCCAAACCCTGACAGCAATAATAAAAACTCTACAATGATTTAATTAAAAAATACATAATAATTTACACGAGTGACTGGCTGTGACTGTGTCATGTCCCTTCTGATGGTGTTAATGTTAAAGGGGGCTATGGAGGCGGCATATATACATTATTAATGAGCAGTGGAGCTGGGGGGGGGGGGGGGGGGCGCTTGAAAAAGCCAGGGAGAGGTCAGCTATGCATTATTAATGAGCAGCAGCATGGGGGAGTGGCCTATGGAAGACACCAGACACACCTCCTCTGAGATCACAGCCAGCAGAGAGGGGCCTTTTCTGCATTATTAATGAGCAAAGGTGCTGGGGGAGTGGCCTTAAGGGACACACAAAGCCACACCCCCTCTCTGCTCACATTCTCCAGAGCCTCCATGGAGGTGTCACAGATAGCTCGGCCATCAGGGGCAAGACCAGGATACTCTACCCAGGAGATGCTAGCTAAAAAGATCATTAAAGTGGCACTTTTGGCTTTATCTAGTGCAAACCTTATTAAGTTTAAAGACTGAGCCCCCACAGTACGCTCACGTGCCTGTAAATGCACTGGTGTCCTTTGCACAGGGACACCTTGGCGATGGCCTGAAACGAGGCTTCCCGGGAGAAATGCACGTCTGAGAAATGGGTCTTACTAGAATAATAAGACTACAGTGCACATAGTTTTAATTGACTGTCTTAATAAAACACCGGACAACCATGCATCCATCTCCCAGCCACTACGGGGGTGGGGGGGGGGGCACAGTCTACCACAGGGCGCACACCAATGCCAAAGGCCCCCGCTGAAGCACCGCAACAGCCTGTCTAATGACTGTAGCCATAAATATAGACGTTAGATTAATTTAATGATGAATATCATCTGTTCTAGCTATGGGTACATAAATACAGAGATAAAGAGATTCATTCCCCAAGTAGAGGTTTATTGGGCAATTTCTCCCTTAACTGCTGCTCGGCGTCAGAGACGGGAGGCCTCAGCTCATGAATGTGTCCCCAGACTGAAAATGCCCGTTTCTCGTCGCCGCCTCTGGTGGCGCTGGGCTCTGGGCCTCCGCCCGCCTTCGCCCTGGCGATCTGCTCCCCATCTCTCGCGGTCTCCCTCGGGGACCTCCGGGCCCCTCCCTCTAAGAGACTCAAGCTGGCTCAAAGTCCAGTTTGCTCCTAATCTGTAACTCGCTGATATTGGATTTTTGCTCCAAGCCCGCATCCCCGCATCCTCTCCCTGCTGACATGTGGCACGCTGATGGCTGAATCGCCTCGCACTCAAACTGAGTTATTGTGTTGTTTTTAATCTAATTCGGTTCTCCTGCAAAGCATGCTGGGATAAAAGGTGGTGGTGGGGGGGGGGTTGGGGGGGTTAGAACAGCCTCTAACTCTGAGTTTTTCACTGTCTTAGTTTGCAGATTTATCTGCATGAACAGCTACTACAAGAGAAACTGTAACATCAGTGTTAGTGCCACCTATTCTGTTCCCAGTCCGTGCTGCAGAGGGCGCCAAAGACCTAGAGACCCGGAGCTGCCATTGGGACGCCTGATTCTGTCCGTCTCACAGGCTCCACCTATCAGCTCTCTCTCCCAGACAGGAGGCGGGGATACCCTGGGGTAATGGGCACCGGGTAGCCAGGGAGGTATTGCCAGGCTAGACATAGTGCATCAATGAGTGAATGCCTGCATTCCTTCAAATGCTGGAGCGGATTAATGAGGCCAGTGGAACACTGAAGGGAACCAAAACAAGTAGCAGTAACAGCTAACCCCCTCCTCCATCCCCCCCCAACCCCTCCCCCCCCCCCGCCACCAATCCACCCAGGCTCACAAAAGTAGGTCACGGCACAATGAACGAGCAGGGAGAATGACGAGAGCGGAAAACAGACCAGGCGTGAGATGAAGAAAACAGCGAGAGCAAGCAGAGAGAGGCTCGGTTACTGAGTCCGAGCTCCGAATAACGTTGCGTGTAATTGTTCGTTTTAGGGAGATCGCACGCACCAACTTCGCACTCGCGTTCCCCGTCTCTGAATGTCGACCTCATCCCCCTGACTAATGAATCTGCGGCTCAGCCTGTAGACACCGATGGTGTGACGCTGTGGCACGTGGCTTAGCGGGTTAGCGGCACTGTGCCGGTGTTCACCGGCAGAGTGATGTCATCATCGGGCCCCTGAGCGAGGCCCCTAACCTCCTACTGCTCCAAGGACCGTCTGGCCCTACTTCCTCAAACATGAAGGTCGCTTTGGATAAAAGCGTTTGCTAAATAAAATATAAATGCATATGTGTGCCCCCCCCCAGAAAAACCAAGAATAAGAAGAGCTGAGAGCTGGCACACAGCAGCATAGGCATGCAGCTGCGCAGGTCCTGCAGCGACACAGCGCAGACACCCACCTTCTTCCACGGTAGAGTCCAGCTGGGTGACTCTGACGGCCAGCAGGTCGACCTTCTCCTGCAGGCTGCTCATCCGCATGTAGAAGCTGTTGGCCTCAATAAACAGCTCAGCAAAGACGTCCTCGGCGTGCCTGCCTATGGTTACACAACCACACACACACAGGGGAAGAGGCGTCAGATCCTCGCCGGCCTTCACGTACGCCTCCCCTCACTGCTCACTTTTCATCTTAAGTGTCCCGTTCGGGCAATCAATCCAAAGGAACCCACAAAACGGATGTTGGGCCCGCTCCGGCGATTGATACATGCATGCATTATTCAGCGCAGTGAGGTAATGTGAACGTGAACCTTCTCCTGATTCAGCAAGAGTCTGCCTTTCCACTGCATCTCTGCTCTGCTCCAAAGCACCAACTAATCTCCCCTTGTCCTGACACAGGAACAGGAAGCTCCAGAGACTCACTAAGGCTAGAAAAGGTTTGATTTCTTCAAACACAGAAATTCACCCGACTGGATGGATTAACGGCCTACAGTTGCTTATCCAATCGGGGTGCCAGATATCCGGAACTTACAAAGTAAGAATTGCTTTTTCTTATTCTGCTTCATTAAACGATGGCGTCTCTAGCTAATGACACCGAGGTCTGAATGTGCATGAAAATGAGCCTCACTTCATATGGCTGATAATCGCAGGTGACACCATGAGCCGGGGGGGGGGGCATTCCAGGCAACAGGACGGCGGCCTCAGAGGAGCTGTTTGATCCCTCTATGTTTGCAACCCCCCCCCCCCCATAAAAAACATGGCCCTTTGGATTATTGGAGCGGATAAAGCGGGCCGGTAGAAACACAGACTCCATTCACAACATCTCCAGCCCCTCAGTCACATGCAGACTCACAAGGGAATCAAATCACTGAAGATGCATTAGGAATAATCAGAAACTAACCCTGAAGACTTTAAAAGCAAAACATAACATCATCAGTCTTCATTAGTACTGCATTGAAAAACAACTAAGCGTGTAATTAAAATTGAAAGAGAATTAACCAATCAAAAAAAAAATGTGTGTTAAATCGTCTCTCACATGCTCCACTGTGATTCACTATTTATAGTGGTTCTGCAACACTGCAGTCTTGGGCCAGCAGGGTGGCGCACTCACTTAGGTTCCCCAGCTGCTTAATAATGGCCGCCAAGGTGGTGTTGGTGACACATTCCAGCTCGCTGCTGACCCCTTGGGGCAGAGCTCCTCGACACAGATGCCGGGGCTCGATGCTCCTCTTCACTAGAGGCATGGCTGCCGTTCAGAGACCTTGGGGGACAAAGAGGATGAGAGAGAAGTCAGGAACCTCCAGGCTGAGTACTGAAGAGGCTGGGGGAGGAGTGTGGGGGAGCCGGAGCCTCTCCCAGGCAGCAGAGGGCACAAACTGGGGCTACACTCAGGATGGGACATCAGTCCACACAGGTCACATCCCAGCTGAAAAAAACAGCTAAAAACCTGCCTATGCAGGTAGCTGGTTTTAGCTGGTCTAATGTGGCCATCTCCCAGCTCCTGCTGCTCTGATGGTTTAACTGGGTGGGTACCCAGTTGCTCATGCTGGTGCGACCAGCTAAACTATCAAACCATCAAGCAAAAACATCCCATATGGAAAAGTTTGTTAAAAATAATCTAAGACATTATATGACATTCAAAATAAATATACAATGCATATTAACTTAATGTGTCATTAGACGTATACGTCCATAATTAATGTAAAATACATATTAAATTAATGTTTTATCAAATATTTAAGTACTACATTGATGTACAATGCATATTAAAGGGATGTTTTGTCAGTATTATTCTTTAATACATGATTCTTTGAATGAACTCAGTTGAATCATGGACAGAGGTTTCACACGACTAGAATGAGTATTTTGAAAATGAAACATCCTTTTATAGTTGATGCATCCACTTTGTGTTCTGAGAGCACAACAAATTCTCATGTCTAATTAAACCAACTGAATGTGCAGAGATCATAGATGTCTTTCACTAGAATAATATAAAGCGATATAATTGTTTATTAAGAAACAACATGTAATAAACATGTATTTCCTACTAACGCTATATGTTATCATGAATGGTACAATGAAAATTTTGTTTTTTTCCTGTAAGTTTTTCTCCTGAGTCCCTCACATGCCAAGTGAAGTTACTGGTATGAATGTGGCCATAATCATACTAGATAAAACACTGACTGGTAGTGAACTTATAAAAACATCATGCATCGTCAAATATAATTGAAATAAGAAAAATGCTCGACAGCCTTATATGAATCACATGTTTTTTTTTCATATGGGATACTTTAAACTGGTCAGCGATCATATATTGTTCGACCAGCTAAACCATCTTAAATTGGTCAGGCTGGTTTTTTCAGCAGGGATGATCCAGGGAGATCGTGAAAATTCCACATAGAGAGAGCAGGCATTTGAACCCCCAACCTTGCAGGTGTGAGCCAACACTGCCCCCCACCAAGCCCCCCACTGAAGAATATGCATAATCTAAGCAAGCTAAACCAGAAAGGCAGTGAAGATCTGCATTTAAATTCTCAATAAGGCATCTCATTACTGGGGAATTGAGTAAAGCAAAATTAAGCGTAATTAAGTGCAATTTAGTTATTAGCTCAGTTAAAGAAATGGAAAATAATGCATGTGGGAGACAAACTGCACTGTAAACGGGAAGTCTTGAGATTTAAATTTAAAAATCAGCCGCATAAAGGTTAACAGTGGCTTTAATAATGCAGTGGTAACCCTGGAAATATACAGTGGTGTTGGCATACTGCCAGGTGTCACCAAGACACTGGCAGTGTAATGAGGAGATATCAGGAGTGTGACTGCTTGTATTTCTGTCTGCATTTGTTCACACAGAGCTTCCAGCAGGCTCTTTCACTGCTGTACTTCTGCACTGTACCTGTGTGTGAGGGCCAGTGTGTGTTTGCGTGTGCCATGCTCAGCATGTCAGGCTAATGGACGAGGCTGGCTTTGCCCCCTGCTGCCCCCACGCAGGCTGTCATTCCACTGAAGTGCCAAGTATCGGCTGCTAGACCACATCCTCACTGCGAGGGTAAGAGTGATGGAGTAATCCCGCTCATTATTTTCCTGCAATCTTTCTTTCTCCCTCCTCTCCCTCCCTCTGACTTTTCTCCTTCTATCCCTCCTCTCCCTCCCTCTGTCTTTTCTCCCGCTGTCCCTCCTCTTGCTCTCTCTGACTTTTCTCCCACTGTCCATTTTGAGGTGTAAATCAGTCCCAAGGCTGGAGATAAGGATTCCCCTTCCTCGGCTCACCTCTGTAAACAGTATGTCCGCTTCTCTGGCACCATGGATAGGAATAAAACAAAACACCACTGGTGCATTGGGCATCAATGCTTGTAGAGCCACTCCCTACAGGAAGTGCTCCTGCTAGCCCTGACCCATTTGCAAATCATCCACGTCTCCTCATTATCATGCATGCTCACAAATGACCCACTCAGACATGCAGAACAGTAATTAACATCTCTGCAGCTGCTCCCATTGCCTGTAGAATGGAGTAAAACAAATATCACTCAGTAAATCACAGTGAATGGGGAGATCACTCAAGATGTCACAAAGAGTGCGGGAAAGGTCACTCCGGGTGTTATTGTGTGTGTAGTGAAGATCTCTAAGGATGCAATGGTGAGTGTTGACAAGATCGCTCAGCACGTCACGGTGAGTGCTGAGAAGATCGCTCAGGATATCACGGTGAGTGCTGAGAAGATCGCTCAGGATATCACGGTGAGTGCTGAGAAGATC